GTGGGGGGAGTATTTGGGAATTTTAGGTATTTTGAATAGGGGGCGGGTGTATGTATCTTTTTTTTCTTCCTGTCTTTCTGTCCCTTGTTCTTTTTTGTTCAATAATGCAAACATGTAGCAAAAGAATATGATGGGGGTTCCTGTTCAGTTTTTGTGACATAGATGTGGCACACGGCTGCACGCGACGAGACCAAAAGAACAAGCGGATTTGAACGAGAGCACACGCATTGGGATACCATCCCTGAGGGATATGGTGCATTGACAGCGCCGCACACCCATGATGTTGCGTGGTCATTTCCCCAGACGAGTTTAAAAGGGGAACGTTGTTTGCCAGTATCAGTTAAAGGAAGAATCCGCAAGATTTTACACCAGCAACGAGATAATTGCGCGGGCTGGATACCGTTGGATACCATCAAAAATTGGTTACCCTTGATGAACTGGCGCATTTTCCGTATAAATATCACCGATCTCAGTTAGTATAGTGGTCAGTATCTCCGCCTGTCAAAGCTTGCTTGTTCAGCCCGCGGAAGACCCGGGTTCGATTCCCGGACTGAGAGCTTCCATTGGATCAAAACGTACGGCTCCCGCTTTTTGGCGCTGTGAGCCGCCCCAAAAACAATTACTTTTTTTTGGTCGTGCCAAATTGACCGCTGGGAGCCTCTTTTGCTGCAAATTGTGGCAGGTACAGAATAATTGATTTATTTCTACACCACTTTTATGATAACATTTCATTTCACACAAACCACCATACAGACACTTGTTGCAGCCTTCCCTTCGTTGGAAGCGGTACAACTGGGCTCCCAATACATATGTTCCCTCCCCAATCCACATCGTCTACATGCCGCCAAGACCCATGGGTATTTCAAAAAGCGAAAAGAAAAATAGGGGATTCTCCAAAGGAGACCAAACCAAACCAATAAATAGAACTGCGGACAAGAAGTTGAAAACAGAGAAAGAAAGAGAAAACAGAAAAAAGTCCCCAACACAACACGGAACCGCGGGCCGCCACCCAACGTGTTTTTTGCTTTTAATCCGCGCACCACTCATTAACGTCCCTAACCCACGCCTCGACGTCCTCTGTCCTCCCACCGATATAAACAACCGCGCCGCCCCCCGCGATACGCCCGACGGCTTCAACGCCCACGCCGTAGCCCATCTCACCCGTTCCCCACCCACGAACGACCCGCGCGAGTTCCGCGGACCGTTTTGTGATTTTTATAGCGATGATCAAGTCGCATTCGCATTGGGCTTGTGGTTGTGATGAGATGGTGGAGGATGAGGAAGCGGTGGTTGTGATCATGGCGGTGGATGTGGGTGTAGTGTCGACGCAGAGGGCTAACGAGTCTGTGAAGAGGAAGCCGCGGAGTTCACGGCCGGTGAGACGGGGTACGCCGTAGCGAGCAACGTAAGGACCGCAGACTTCCAACTCGCGTTTTTCCTTGTCGAGGTCGCTCCCGCCGTTCCCACCCGCTGCGCCGGAACTCCCACCAGAGGATTCCTTGCCTCCAAACCGCGTCTCGACGATACTCCCGTACCGTTCTTTGCGGACTCGGTCCTTTTTGCCTCGACATGCGGCAACGCCGTCGACGCGGCCTTCCATGTCTCCACCCCATTCGACAATCTTCAACACTTTCACGCCGCCTTCGCGTAGGAACCGCCGACCGGATACTAAACCCTGCACGACCCCACCACCAACCGAATACGGGCGGACCTTGATCCTCGATAGCCGCTCCACACCCTTCTCTTGCTCCTCCCACGCTCGTTTACCCTCGTTGCACTCTGCCACGCGGCGTTTGATATCCGCCGCGGCTTGAGAGAGGTTGGCGTAATCCGGGTGCTCGGGAGGTGTCCGTGAAAGGAGCTCGTCAGCCAACAAGACGTAACGAGGTAACCGCTGAACGGGGAGAATGAGAAAGGCTTGCAAGCTGATTTGACTGTGGAGGGGGTTCTGTTTCGCGCGGCGGACGAAATTCTTGAATTTCTTTGCGGCGGATTTTTTGGTGGCGATGGGTGTTGAAGTTGTGGGTGTGCTTGGCGCAGAGTTGGAGGAGGAGGAGGATTTCGCCAGCGATGAGAGATGGGCGACGTATGAGTTGGCCGCGTCGAATGTGTTGTAATAGAATTGATACATTTTCAAGAAGGGTGCCAGTGTTTTGAGGGCCGTGCCGAGAGGCTGATCTGGTAGTGCCGCGCACCTTTCTAGATCCGGGAGAACATGACTTTGGGGACGGAAAAGACACAGATCAGCATCCTTCGCTTGACCACAACCATACAAATTTCGGATATCACTTACTCTCGATGAAACGTCAAAATAGTCTTGATATTCGAAAACACCAGTTCCGTCTCTTGCTTCCCCAATATATCACTCGACTCCAATGGGTTCACATAGACCTCCACCAAATTCGACAATTCTCTCACATACGTCCGTTCGGTGCTCAACACCTCGGCAGCAACGGCAGCCCGCGCAGCGGGCGTTTGCTTCTTTTTCGCCTTTTCGGCTTGCCGCTTGGCTTCGTCGGGATCCAGCGGTTCGGATGATGGGGCTGATTGCGTACTGCTCGCGGAAATGATTTTGGCGCCCGTGCGGCCGTCATCTTGGAGTGACGGGTCCAGATGGTACGCGTCTCGCAAATGGCCAAGCAGACGTTGTAGGTGCACATTATCGGATGCAAGCGCTACGCGACCCGTGTCGGTGTAGGAGGAAGATATGCTGGGTACGTAGTCGGATTCGCTTGCTGAGCGAAGATGAGATGGTTCGAAAGTTTGAATAGAGTCTGCATCCGAGCGGAGTGAATCTGCTTCGGATTTTGGGCGTGATAGAATATGCGAGTCTATATCTTCCGGAAGGTTCAGTGAGAAACGCCCAGGTCCAGGTGCAGGCAGTGATTGATGCAGCATGTGCTCGCGAATCTGTGAAGGCTCTGCAAAAAAGAGACTCATCAGCTTAAAATTCTGCAACAAGCATAGACGCACCCAAAAAAGTGCCACAAACTAAACCTAACCAACTCACCAGGAGCCGTATGTATCCTCGACAATTTCGGTCTCTCATCCACACTACCTCCATGCTCCTCACCCGCATCCTCTTCACTCTCCCCACTGCTGGTACTAATCAAACTCGCCACCGCCTTCCCCCTTCCAGGATCCAACGTCCCATACTCGGGCGGCAGCGTAGCACCCCTAGTCGGGCGTCCACCCGCAACCACACCATAATTCGGGTTCTTTCCTCTGCCGAACATTTGCAACAGGTTCGATCGTGACGGGACACGGTTCGGCCGCGCCATGTGGAGTTGCTGCGGGCTGGACACGGATTCGGTGAGCGCTGTTACGAGGGGTGAAAGCGTGCCGAAAAAGAAGGAGTTGTCCTTGACGTGGAGAGTGTGAAGGGTGTCATGAAGGAGACCGAGGGAAGAAGGTAGGTTGGTGAGTTTGTTCTCGGAAAGATCAATGTAATGGAGGGAGTTCATGCCGACAAAAAGCGTATGAGCTATAACCGATCGCACAGTTGGTTAGCAAACAGGTTCTGAATAACGAAAGCACGCCAAAAAAATCCTGCGGCAAATATACATACCCAATTTAGTGATCTGATTCCGACTCAAATCCAAGACCTCCAACCCTCTCAATCGCCCTACATCCATCGGCACATCCACCAGAAAGTTTGCGCGTAAAATCAACTCCTTCAACCCCGTCAACAACCCAATCTCCCTCGGTATAAACTCCAGATGGTTATTGCTCAAATCCAAACTAGTCAGATGTTGCATACCCACAAGGCATGAACCGGGGAGCGCAGGAATGTAATTTGTGGCAAGCGTCAGGCGGGTTAAATTTGATGCGTGTGGGAGGATTAGGTCTGCGGGGAATTCGTTGAAGTTTTTGTTGGACAGGTCGAGGGTTACGGGTGAGTCGAGTTCGGGTGTGGGCGTTGATCCGCCAGAGGATGATTTGCCCACGCTGCGCGACGGTGATGGGCGCGGAGAGCCGGCAGGGCTACCTTGCGCTGGTGTAGATGTCCCACTTCGCTGGTAAATGTCTGACATAGAGTGGATGCGCTGAATATGGTTCCCAGGCTCCAAAAACTCTCCCGTTTTTGCCCGCCGTCGCGTAGGAGGGGCTGGATTCTCAGCACTATCTTCCGCACCCAATTGGGCATACAACTGTACCAACGACTGTTCTTCCAACATTTCTTTCACTTGTTGATCAACTTCATCCAGCTCCTTTTCCCGCGTGGGCGTTTGGGTTGGAACCAGTCCCAATGCATTCCACACCTCCTCCCCAAAGCTCCTCGGTCGAGGTTTGGGCAAAGCACCGCGTTCCGGCGATGTCGCCGCAGACCGCGAAAATGCCTCCATTTTACTATCACGCTTTGATCCATCTGGCACGAACATATCGGCAGGCGGAGGCGGTATATTATCCAACGGTGGTATCGGCAAGGGTCGAGCTGCCCGAGCTGGAGACGCAGAAGGCGATGCATTGGGAGATGTAGCAGAGAGTCGAGTGGAAGTAGCAGGGGGTATGGATCGCGACGGGTCGTCACCAGGTTGAGAGGAAGGTGGTACGTTCGGCAGCGGCCGGCCGGGTCGGGTAGATGCAGCCGGCGGTTCCGAAGACTGAGCGCTGGTAGGAGGTTCAAAAGGTGTATTATTATATCCAGTCGTGCGAGGGGGGGATCTGCCGACACCCGCGGAACCAACTCGAGCCGCTGTTGCGGATTGTGGTGGAGACTTATCGGAAGCTTCCGTCTTGGTAGCTGTTACTGCAGGCGGTCGACGTGGCGGGCTAGTTGCCTCCTCCTTGGCTAAATATGCCAAAGGAGAAGATTCAGTCACCGGCCTCTTACTATCCAGTCGTTGCGGAAGGTCAGACCGCGAAACTGGTGCGGATGGAGCTTGGTTGCTCAACACTCTCGATTCTCGCCGTTCGGGTACATTTGATAGAGTCTCCCACATAGCCGTCTTAGATCTCACCCGCCCAGGAGAATCGCTACCTGGTCTCGATTGTCCCGACAAAATCGAATTTCGCTCATCCTCCTTCACTGGGTCCTTAATCTTCCGTCCGTCTTGCGATGCACCATGTGATCCTCCCGGCGCCTTCATGACTTCAACAACCTCCTCTTCCTCAACAACGGTCTCTTCTTGCATAACCGAGCCATCATTTCCCCCGGCAGCATTATCCTTCGCCGTCCTTCCATTGCTCCCTCCATTCTCATCATCATTCTCCACACTCTCCGCCCATACGCTCACAGCCCTTGCAACCACAACCGCCAACACCACCGCCGCTCCTGTTCCCCACACCACGCCACTCCATCCAGCTCCAACACCCCCCGCAGCTGCCGCAGCCGCCGCCGCAGCTTTCGCACCGTTACTACTTGTAGCGCCTCCACCACCGCTGACAGCTCTCCCAACCCTCTTGAAAGGATCCCACCACCACGGCGTTGTAGGTGCGGGTGCGCCGCCGGTACCGCCGCGGAGACTTCGAGCATAGGCGAGGGATAGGTCGACTGCCAAGAAGAGGGTTGTTGGAAGGGCCACGAGGACCAGGAGAGGTGTTAGACCGCCGCTGC